GCTAATTTTCTTTAAAAAAAACAGATTCAAGTATTATATGCTCAACTTTCCTCCTACTAAATGCTAGTATGGACTTATAATTTAAAATTCATAAAATATATGATCATTTATGAAGTCTAATACCATTTTATGTTGGCAAAACCCAAATGGAGGGATTGAAACATACATACTACTATTTTTCGTATGTAAGTAGAGTTTTGAGACAACCATCAACTTAAGCGAAATAGAGTGAATGCAGCTCATATTACTTACTACTATCCTTGTTTATGTTTATTAATATTTATATAATAAAATGGCCTGTCACTCCATGATTTACGTTCAGAAATACGTACATACATTCACATGTGCACACAAATGCATATATATACTCATATGCATGTTCATACGTTGCCACATTGTCTATTATCCCATTAGCCGGATAGCCTACAGCCGAGTGAACGTTTCTTGCAGTGGGAGAATTCAGTGTATGCATCACTGCAACTTGATGTTTTGGGTTTCACTTTGGTCTCGGATAATGAACCCGATACTGTCTATGCGGCCGGCTGGTTCCGTGGCAGACTGCGCATCAATAGGGCTCGCTTGCCTAATTTTGATGGCAACTTTGATGCCGACGCTCGTGTCTTGACCACTTCCGCAGGGCAAGGATATGTGAACGGTAATTTGCCGAATAAAAGTCAGTGTCATATTTGTCGTCTCTGTTCTCTTTCGTTAGGAATATGTTCCTCTCCCTCCAAAATAGCTATGGTAGCTGAGCCTTTTCTCCATTTGTGAAGCTGTAATGGATAAGCTAGCTAAGAAAATAGAGTAAAGATAGAGCAAGTCCTTTCCAGATTATAGTTCAGATCATTACTTACTACTAATAGCAGAAATTCGGTGCGAAAATTGTAGAATTTGTGAGGTCTTTTTTTTCGGCAATAATTTGTGTTGGACTCCTAAATTATGATGCGGACGACTTGCAAACTTTACCTCTGTATCAAATGAAAGCTCCTCATAATAGACATATGCATGAATCTATTATCAATTTGGATTATAATCTTCTGGTAATTTAATGTTCCTATTTATAGGATTTTTTACTGTAACTTTAATAAGCACTAACCTCATTCTATGTCATTTAAGACTATTGAGGAGACTTTATTTTCGTAGGCCAGTACATGAGGAAGAGATTCGAAGATCGATATCACCAGAAGACGACGGCTGATTCCCTTTTTACTGCATCCGTTTGAGTTTAATACACGTTTAAGTTGACGTGGTCCATGAGACATCATCTCTCGTTTCGGCTGAAAATAAGCTGAGCTTTTGTCCATCAGAGTTGAAACTCATTCTTGTAAACTTCTCACATTAACCTTAGGCCAACAATACTGTCCAGCTTTATCTTAACTCTTATATACATATTCATATTTAAAAGCAAAAATGTTTAGGCATAGATATATATGGAATGGTTTGCTTAATTATCTTTCATATTGTTCACGCTACTTTTTCTCGGGTGTGTGTGCGTCTGTGTGTATCAACTTCTATACACAATACCGGTCGTAAACCAGAGTGATCAAAAATGCCTAACTTCAGGCTCTCGTAATCAAGGCTTAATAGGAAAAAAAACGATGGAGAGAACGTAAGTTCGTAGCGTTTTTGGCCGAGATAATAGATATGTTAAGGAACGACCTGGTTGCGTGATCACCTGTTCTAAATTCTGGTTTGGTTGATGAGCTTACTCTAACATAGAAGTTGTTTGACCTTGTTTTCGCAACTTGGTCATATTGGTAGTAAGACTTATAGAAACGCACCTTGTCCTGAGTCCATTGTATGCATAATTATTTTCAAAGTCGGACCATGGACGTGGTACATTCCAAGACGTTTCGCCGGCATCGTAGTTGGCATAGTCAGTGAGTTTTACCATTCGTAGCACTATATTACAACTCGTCAAAGAGACAAGTGAAGCCGATCCTTTGACAAACGTGTGCTAAACAGTTATGATATCTTCCTATCCACTGGCCTATCACATTACCTATAACCTCCAATCACGCCTTCACTGTCACGATATTTAACTTGCTTAAGGAGACAAGTGAAGCCGATCCATTGACCAAACGTGTGCTAAACAGTTATGATATCTCCCGTTCTGCCCTGCTTTATCACATTACCCATAACCCTCCAAAGTTGGGCTAACAGTGTTAATAATATCTCTACTGCCCTGGCCTATTCACATTTCCTATATCCTCCAATTACGCCTTCCCTGTCACATTATTTTACTTGCTTAATTAAATATGGTCGGTGTGCCCATTTTTAGCGTCTTTCATGAGAACTCTCCACACTCCACGCTGGCCTTCTCACCGCCCTTCATCCTTGTGCTGGGAATGTTGATCGGAGTCTGCCATATTGTTATGCAGTCCTCATTCTATAGGTATTACCCCAGTCCCTCTCTTGCCCCGTAAGATCCGTCTGCCCACTCTCTGGTTCACATATTTCACTCGACCCCTGCTACCCCATCTGTGTCAACTTGAGGCGTTATTGGCCCTACCCTGCGTCTGGCTGACTACTTCGAGGCTTAAGACTCTGAGTAAGTGTCATGGTCAGGCCTTTGCCATAGGGACCACGTCTATTATAAAAACTACTGTCATCCCACTAGCTCCCATAGTCGCCGCGTCTATCCTGTTTCTATCTCTAATACCAAGTCTATGACTCTTTATACTCTAGCCTCTTGTGTGCCAACCCACAAACGTTGTGGTTCAACAATGAACCGAGTCAAAGCAAGCATAACCACAACATTTG